TGATTTTGGGTTTTTTTGGGCTGATTTGGGGGGTTTTTTGGCTGATTTTGGGTTTTTTTTGGGGCTGATTTGGGGTTTTTTGGGGCTGATTTGGGGGTTTTTTTGTGCTGATTTTGGGGTTTTTTGGGGCTGATTTGGGGTTTTTTTGGCTGATTTTGGGTTCTTTTGGGGCTGATTTGGGGGTTTTTTTGGGCTGATTTTGGGTTTTTTTGGGGCTGATTTTGGGTTTTTTTGGCTGATTTTGGGTTTTTTTGGGGCTGATTTGGGGTTTTTTTTGGGCTGATTTTTGGGTTTTTTTGGGGGTGATTTGGGGGTTTTTTTTGGCTGATTTTGGTTTTTTTTGGGGCTGATTTGGGGGTTTTTTTTGTGCTGATTTTGGGGTTTTTTGGGTATTTTTGGTGTTGATTTTGGAGATTTTTTTCCACCTAGATTCTGCCGTTTTTTCATCCTCATTTTGGTGAGGTTTTTTTGACCCTCATCTCAATTTTTCCCCTTTTTTTCCCATTTTACCATTCCCAAAATCCCCAAAAAAACCCAAAATCCCCCAAAATCCCCCAAAAATCCCCAAAATCCCCCAAAATCCCCCAAAAAACCCCAAATTTTCCCCTCCCAGGTGCTTCGAGGGCGACTTCTCGGGGCTGCACCACTTCCCCAACTGCTCGGTGGCCTTGGCCCAGAGTGACCAGCAGAGTGACCAGCGGAGTGACCAGCTGAGTGACCACCGGAGTGACCACCGGAGTGACCAGCTGAGTGACCACCGGAGTGACCACCGGAGTGACCAGCTGAGTGACCACCGGAGTGACCACCGGAGTGACCAGCTGAGTGACCACCGGAGTGACCACCGGAGTGACCAGCTGAGTGACCACCGGAGTGACCACCGGAGTGACCAGCTGAGTGACCACCGGAGTGACCACCGGAGTGACCAGCTGAGTGACCACCGGAGTGACCACCGGAGTGACCAGCTGAGTGACCACCGGAGTGACCACCGGAGTGACCAGCTGAGTGACCACCGGAGTGACCACCGGAGTGACCAGCTGAGTGACCACCGGAGTGACCACCGGAGTGACCAGCAGAGTGACCAGCGGAGTGACCAGCAGAGTGACCAGCAGAGTGACCCCAATGGCCACCAGAGTGACCAGCAGAGTGACCAACAGAATGACCAGCAGGGTGATCCCAATGGCCACCGGAGTGATCACCTGAGTGACCACTTGAATGACCCTCAGAGTGACCACCAGAGTGACCCCAATGGCCACCAGAGTGACCAGCAGAGTGACCGACAGAATGACCAGCAGGGTGATCCCAACGGCCACCGGAGTGATCACCTGAGTGACCACTTGAATGACCCTCAGAGTGACCACCAGAGTGACCCCAATGGCCAGCAGAGTGACCCAAATGGCCACCGGAGTGACCAGCAGAGTGGCCAGCAGAGTGACCCCAATGGCCACCGGCGTGACCAGCAGAGTGGCCAGCAGAGTGACCCCAATGGCCGGCGGAGTGACCAGCACAGTGACCCCAATGGCTACCGGAGTGACCACTTGAGTGACCATCAGAGTGACCAGCATGATGACCATCAGGGTGACCAGCAGAAAGATCAGCAGAGTGACCAGCAGAGTGATCAGCGTGGTGACCACAAGGGTGACCAGCAGAATGACCAGCAGAGTGACCATCAGAAAGAACAGCAGAATGACCAGCGTGCTGACCGTCAGGGTGACCCTGCGAGTGACCCTCAGAGTGACCATCAGAGTGACCCCGCGGGTGACCAGCAGAGTGACCATCAGAGTGACCATCAGAGTGACCCCGCGGGTGACCCTCAGAGTGACCATCAGGAAGACCAGCTGAATGACCAGCAGGGTGACCATCAGAGTGACCAGCGTGCTGACCATCAGGGTGACCATCAGAGTGACCATCAGAGTGACCAGCAGAGTGACCATCAGAGTGACCAGCGTGCTGACCATCAGAGTGACCCTCAGAGTGACCAGCAGAGTGACCCTCAGAGTGACCAGCGTGCTGACCATCAGGGTGACCAGCAGAGTGACCCCGTGGGTGACCCTCAGGGTGACCATCAGAGTGACCAGCGTGCTGACCCTCAGAGTGACCATCAGAGTGACCATCAGGCTGACCCTCAGAGTGACCATCAGAGTGACCATCAGGCTGACCCTCAGAGTGACCATCAGGGTGACCATGAGGCTGACCCTCAGAGTGACCCTCAGAGTGACCCTCAGAGTGACCCTCAGAGTGACCCTCAGTGGTGCCCGGACGTGGACGAGTGCGGGCTGGGGCTGGCGCGCTGCCACCCGCGGGCGCGCTGCCACAACTCAGGGTGACCAGCAGAAAGATCAGCAGAGTGACCAGCAGAGTGATCAGCGTGGTGACCACAAGGGTGACCAGCAGAATGACCAGCAGAGTGACCATCAGAAAGAACAGCAGAATGACCAGCGTGCTGACCGTCAGGGTGACCCTGCGAGTGACCCTCAGAGTGACCATCAGAGTGACCCCGCGGGTGACCATCAGAGTGACCCCGCGGGTGACCCTCAGAGTGACCATCAGGAAGACCAGCTGAATGACCAGCAGGGTGACCATCAGAGTGACCAGCGTGCTGACCATCAGGGTGACCATCAGAGTGACCATCAGAGTGACCAGCAGAGTGACCATCAGAGTGACCAGCGTGCTGACCATCAGAGTGACCCTCAGAGTGACCAGCAGAGTGACCCTCAGAGTGACCAGCGTGCTGACCATCAGGGTGACCAGCAGAGTGACCCCGTGGGTGACCCTCAGGGTGACCATCAGAGTGACCAGCGTGCTGACCCTCAGAGTGACCATCAGAGTGACCATCAGGCTGACCCTCAGAGTGACCATCAGGGTGACCATGAGGCTGACCCTCAGAGTGACCCTCAGGGTGACCCCGCGGCTGACCCTCAGTGGGCGTACGCGGCGTGCCCGGACGTGGACGAGTGCGGGCTGGGGCTGGCGCGCTGCCACCCGCGGGCGCGCTGCCACAACAGCCCCGGCGGCTTCGAGTGCCGCTGCCAGCGCGGC